GGAGCGATGCTGCGCGTGCGGTGCCTGCGCGGGGGCAGCCGCGGAGCCGAGGCGGTGCACTACATCGGGTCGCGGGTGCGTAGCTCCCAGAGGAGCCCCGAGCCCGGCCCGGGGTCCGGCACTGAAAGGAGAAGCCCTGCCTTGCCTGGGGGCTGCATCCATCGCAGCCCGGGGGCAGCTGTCCCATGATAGCGCCGCTGAGTGCCACTGCCTCCCTTCAACAGCGGGTCCCTCGGGTGTTTCTGGTGCCAGCTGGCATGCCCCAGCCAGGGCGCCCGTGCGCTGCCGAGAGACGTGGTGCGGGTGGCCAGCGCTAGGAGGGGACCCCTGGATTCGGAAACCCGGGGCTGGCATCGTGGCCCGCGGGGCAGCGCGCTGTGCCCTCATCCGGCCTGCCTCCCTGCGGAGGGTGTCTGGTTGGACTTCTAGTCTCTCTTCGCAGCTGTTCCTCCTGTCCAGGCTAGCACCTTGGCAAGTGTCAGTGCCACCCTACGGGGCAACCCAGCCATGACAGCGAGAGCTGCAAAGATGCTTTTCCTCCACCCAGCTCTTCTGTGCCTCGATGGATGGACCTAAAACAGGGCCAGATTAGGTTTGCCTGTTTAGTGGCCACATTGACGCTATGTGTAAAATTAATGGAACTACTGTCTATAAGAGAAGGTGCAGGGGAGGGGGGAATCCTACATGGATTTAAGATGGCCTGATAGATTTATGGCCAGGATTATGACAGGGTTGTCTGAAATAGCAAAGGACAGAACTTGGAGACCTGGGAGGTCTCTCCGAGGCCTAAGTTCATTGTCCAACACAGCTGTGCTTCTTTAAAGGTGAAATATTAACATTTCAGGGGAATGCCTACAATAAAGAGTGTTGTGCTCTAAAGAAAAGCCTTCCAGGCAACATACGCTGCACTCAAAGACCCAGGGATGCTTAATTTCTCCTCTTGTATTTGTTTAGTTGTGTGAAAGACCTGACTTTCTTCTTTTTCTTTTTTTTCCCTTTTCAAGCTTGGAAGATCACTTACCGGATGGGTGCAGCGAACTTTCCAGAGCACCCAGGCAGCTACAGCCTCTGAGGCTTCCTGTGCTGCTGATGACAATAAGGCCACCGATCCTCTTCTGAATGACTGCCCTGTTTGCTCATACAATGAATGGGACCCACTGGAGGAAGTAATTGTAGGGAGAGCTGAAAATGCATGTGTCCCTCCTTTTTCTGTGGAGGTTAAGGTAAAAGGTTTATATTGGAAAAAATGCATCATTTTGCATATAATGTTTCTTAGTTTGTAGGGTCCCTGTGCACACTGAGGAGTTCACTGGCATAGCTGTTGATGTGATTTCCCCTTTACCTCCACTACGTGCTGACAGGGTTACCAGCAACAGTGGAGCAAAGAGCAACCCTAAAACAGGCAATCTGCTTGCTGACTCTTAGAGACAGGGTTAATATTTACAGCTGTAAGCTGGCAGGATTCTTTTGCTTCTAATTTTTCCTAATTGGAACTGCCATACTGTAGATTCAGCATTGTATGGAAATACATACAAGTCTATTTTCCAAGCATGTTGTGCATTAGTAGGCATCTGTTTGTCTTGCAACACAATAGAATTTCCTTAGTGAGGCATCAGCTTGCTGAACATCTCCAAGTTTAGCAGTAGAGCCCAATTCTTGTGCGAGTCCTTTCCGTACTTATCACATCTGAAGTTCATATCAACCAAACCTGAAAGTGGTGTGGGGTTCTTCCTGAGGTTTCTTTTTTCCTCTGCATGTTGGGATCTTCTTTCTTCAAAAGCATTTAAATTATGATCTAATGTTGTGAATTAAGATTACAATTCCATCCCATGCTCCCTCCAATTTGCAAATCTTAGTTCTTGGATTCCATTCTAGGTTCAGGTGTCCTAGCTCAACTTTTTTGGTGTACATGTTTAAAATAATAGTATTTTGTTTAAAAACGAAGTGAAATGTTTATAAAAATATATACTCTATATAATCCCATATTGCTAATGTTAACCTGCTTACAAAATTTAATATATTTTAAATGCAGGATGAAAATGTTTAACACATTAAAAGTGGATTTTCAGATCATCAGGTTTCATCTAGATAGTGAAACACGCTTCTTTTTGAATATCTTTTCCTGCTTAGTTCTGCTTTAGAAATTGGTTTCTGGTTCTAAGAGAAACTAAGGAGTTATTGGGGAAGGTCCAATAGATCTCTATTCCTACTGTTCAAACACAAGACATAAAACTCATTGTTTGCACTTGCCATCCCTCTTTTGTGCACTTGAGGTGATACTGGCACCACTGAACTCAGGGAAACATTACTATTGATTTCACCACGATCTGCTTTTACCTATTCAGAGCTGCAAATCAGCTGTGACATCTCATTTTGCTTGAGCAAAGAAACCCAAACCCTACTAGGAAAATATGCTAACTGAGAATGGCATTTCTCATGTACAAGATAAAGGAGATGCAATTCATAAAATCGAAGGTAATGTTTGCACTTCCATGAAGCAACTGAGGGCATGAAAAAATACTCCCTTGCTTTATAGCTAACTTGTAACATTATTTGTGGTCAAAATTCTGTAGCACTTGTTTAACTCCCTTCAGCAAAATTAGGATACATCTACCCATTGTAAGCAGTGTCATGAAGAGATACCCAACCTAGCTCCTTACTTTCTAGCCTGCAAACTAGAAGCAGTACAACTACATGTGCTTGGCACTCAGCCTGGGATAATTAGTGCTGTGCTCCCTCTCTGTCTCTCTGAAATTTAAAAAAAATTATAGTTTTCAGATAATCCAGCAAAATACCTATTTTAAAAATGTTGTGGAGTGAATACAGCTGCAGTCAACGTATCCTCCTGTAATTTGAAAGACTTGTTTTTGGCAGCCACTTCAGTCTTTTGGCTGCGATCTGTAAACGATGTGATTCGCATAAGAAGGAGGAATGAATGAATGGAAGTGGGGTACCACTGCGTGTCTGATGAATATAAATGGCATTGGCACTTGATGACTAGTACACACCCTTATGGATGCTACAAAAGTGTGTGCATCAGTATCACATTTGGAAAATCACTAGAAGTGAAATGACCATTGCACTAATTGCTGGGTAGTATCTTGGTACAAGTCTCTCTCTTCATTTTTACAAAACAATACATCGGTCTTCTTTGCTGGTGTGAATATATAACTGGGGAAAAATATTATCACTACACAAAATAGATATCAGATATGAAACTCTTAAGTAATAAACAGTACCGTTTTTTAAAATCTCTAAAATACATGTTCATGTGAAGTGTAGGCTGCTTTCATTGCTTATTGAAGAGCCATATAATACGAAGTCCTCCTACAAATAATTAATAGTATGACCATTACATTTTGAAATCACAGTTCATTACACATACAAATGTTGTCAAATGTTGGTTATGCTATTAGTTAATCTGTTAGGAGCAAGATATGCTTACATAGGACAAAACTTCTGTTTGGACAAATTCTGACAGTGTTGTGGCAGGTGACTAAGCAGATGAACTCAGCCCAGAATCGCTGCATTAAGGACATCCTATCTGCGTTGTACTGACAGCAGGGATGTGTGCTCTCTATTAAAGTATGATCTTGACATTGCTTGACTCAAGACCCTTTTACAGCTGGATTTGTCACAACCATGTAATTTCTTGGGAAGTAAAGAGGAAAGTATGTGTGGCTGTAGGAGAATGCGTGGTAGGAAAAGGGGAGTAAAGATTTCCTTGCACTCACTGGGTCCAGATTCATTCTTGGTGGTTTTGGAACTAACTTGCATTTATCCTGTGTGACTGATTTGTCTTGTTAACTGAACTGGATTCCACAGGAATGCTGACCATGTCACATCATCTACATGTGACTTTGGAACAGCTGGTGAAGTCTGTGTGGTGATCAGATTACCCCAGACTAGCTGATTAAAAAAAGAAATGTGGGAAATAGAGGAAAGACAAGTTGCTTGAACACTGCAGAGGTGGGTAACTATGAAGTGATCTCTATCCCTTCTTCAACTTGGTAGTGTCTATCACTTTTTCAAGTTGTGTGCTTGGACATTCCAGAAATTAAAAAGTTCAATTTTCCCCTATCTGCTCAAGGCCCATGGCAGAAGGGAAGCTGTTGAGGAAGTAGGTAGGAAGAAGCTCAAGTGGCCAGGTTGGATAAATCCAATCTGACGATTCAGGTTAGTGGTCCATTGTTTTGATGAATGATGGTGGTTCACTAGTCCAGAATTTTGTGGGATCATGTCGGGTAGTCACCAGGTATGGGCGTGTGCCCTTACATCTGATGGACATTCACTGGCCCACTCAGGGGTGCTCCCAACCTTTGGTCAGGGGTTCCTATGTTCTTTCTCTCTCTCCCCGCCTGCCATGACTTTGATGTTGAAAAGGATCTTTCTTTTGATTATTGGAGATGTTAATTAAAGGGAGGTGGTGACTACCCACCTCCACTGCGACTGACTGCCAGATCCCGCCCCAGTTCCTGAGGCCGTGAACAGGGAAAGCAGCTAAATGATTAGACTGGAAAGGTTCTTTCCTTTCCTTTGGTTTTTTATTCTTATCATTAAAACATTTGGCAGATCTTGGTTCTCCGGGAAGCTGGTCCCGATTACCTCCTGGGCTTGTTACTGGGCTTCTCTCGGCACCGGCTTTCCCGCATTCCCCAGCGGGCTGGGGAGCACCCTTTTCCCTCCACGCTGGGCTTGATTGGCAGCACGTGGCCACTTAACGAACAAAAAAACCCCCTTTAATGAGATTGTAAAGGTTGACTGGGAGAGGACACTGCTTTCCCTGCCCTCTTTCTTCAGCCAGCCCTGGCTTCTTTTCCCCTCGGGGTCTAGGCTACGGGGCCCTTGGAGAGGCTGGGTTTCATTTTTCCTTCCTCCCGGGTCTCTCACCTGTGCTCATCAGTTTTCTTTCCTGCCGTGGCTGCGCCTGAGTTACTCGGCAGCCAGTGGAGCTTGATCTCTGTCCCTGAATAAATAAAATAACGGGCTTCCCCAGCTCCAAAGCATCTGCCCTCCTTGGCTTCCTTTCCTTTCTTCTCTGCCCTTCTCTTTACCGTCTTTAAAGGGGTTCTTCCACACCCGGAGACCAATCGGGTGCTTACCCGGCTCCTGGGTCAGTCTAGCGTTGGGTGCTCCCAGCCTCCATCCTCCTGAGGATTCCTCCTTCCTCGCCTTCTCTCCCTAGCTTTCCCCTGGATATTGCCCCGGCTGCGAATTTGCCCCAATCCCTTTCACCTGCTGCGGTGATAAGACTGGGTTGGGGCACACTGGGAGCTCCTGCTGCAGCACGGAGGTCCCGTTCCAGTTGGGTCGGAGCTCCTGGCCGGGGAGGCATTCCCAGTAAGCACCCTTCAGCTTCTCACAGATCACTGTTGTACACATGCTTTCAGACACACTGGTTGACTACATCTCCATGCCAGCCATATGCTGAAACCACAGCTCTGCTGAGCATATTGAGGCTGTACCCTGCCTCATGGAGGTGGTAACAAGGGCTTTCTGCCAGGCTAATGAGGAAGTCCTGCCATCTTTGCTATTTGGGTAGACTTCACTGTCCCATGAGCATCACTTCCCGTGTACAGGAGAGCTGGAATCTGTCTCAGAAGGAAGGACTTGGCTCCTACTACACCTCTGTGTGTGACCTTCCCACCCCATTCCTGGAGTGGTGTGATGGGCTGTACTTCACATGGTGGCAGCCACGGTGCCCACCCAGAGTTGACAGAGGAGCCTAATGGAGTTTACACCCCTCAGAGTTGTTTCTGGATATCTGCACAGAGGCAGAGGCCAGCAATTTCATTATAGATTTGTTGTGTTTTCCAGGTTTTTTCCTCAACCATGAGGGCTAGGAAAAATAATACCTGAAAAACAAGTGCAGAGATTTCAAAGTTCTCACAGAAGCCCAGGAGTAGGGGCTCTAAGTAACGGCATATGGCATTTGTCTCAGTCCAGCCCTGGCAAATGATAGCAAACCAACTTTCTGCCCATCTCTTTACAGAACACGTTTCTTTCCCCTAAGTATGGATGTTAAGGGTCCTTCCTGCCCAAGGGCAGTCTCCTGGGAAGTGGGGTATCTGCATTCAGGGCATATATATATATATGACATATATATGACTCTCCAAAGTCACTGGAAGTGGTGCACCACTGTGCTGAAGTGAAGCTTGAGGTGGGAAGGCAGAGGAGAATAAGCAGTAATTGCATGTAAAAATTACTGGGTGGAAAGATGGACCAGAGGGCAAAGTGGATCAACAAAAGATTAAACTCGCAGACAAGTTTACCTTTCAGATTAACTTCAAGGTCCTTGTATTACTGTTTCTCTCCCATCTTCCTAAACTGGAATCATCATAGTAGGGGGTATGTTTGCACAGTGTCTAGCACAAGGAGGCCCAGATCCTGACTTGGACCTTTGGGCAATACTTTGGAGTGTAAATATTAAGTAGCAGAAGCTGACACGTCTTCTATCACTTGCTCCATTGGCTTTTGCCGTTGGTTCATTTCTTTGCTCAAACATACCCTTGTCACTAGCTTTTCAGATCTGTTGTTTGGCTTTTACACACCAAAAGGGATTCTACAATTGTAGAAGATACAAGCATCCACATGTATAAAAGGAAAATGAACTTTAGTACTGCATCTGCATTTGTTGACTATTTTTTCAGAACTCCATTTTAGTAATCATGTTATGTGTCCACACCCTCTGGAGTAATTTACCCTGAATTTTACCTCTGTATAAGTAGTAGCCCTACAATCACCTCTCCCAAGTTAGCTGTCTACAGTAGTCACAATTACAACTTTTAAGTGACAAGGTGGCCAAGGAGCCCATTTTCATTGCAATCAACCATGGGAGCAAACATATGACTGGTACATTGTTGGAACTTACCCTGGTGTTTGAAGACTTCAGGTACTTCAGATGGGTAACTGCCCTAGAGCTACATAACTTACAGTAGTTTAAGGCTGTGTATTGTATATCCACTCCACTTTTATCGTGCAGTGAATTGAAATTACATCAGAGTACATACTTCCTGTGCCTAAGCCCTTAGTGCTGTCTTAATACTCTTGCAGCAAGAGAAACTTAGGTTTAAGATATCTGGTTGCTTTTCAGATGGGGTGAGTGATGTTAGCTAGATGGAAAAATGGTAACATGGTAGAAATGAAAGCTTTGTGATTGAACTTTGATTGCCATAATATTCAGCTGTAGTCATTTAGTTTTTGGTACCTGGTTTTAATCAGGCCAGTTAGTGAGATCATCAGGAGTGGGCTCTGCTAGAGGGTTGTGATTAGAAGGGAATTAGCAGGAAATATTTTTCTACTTCAATGAGATTATTGACTTCCATTTAGGTAGGTAACGAATAAGGTAACTCAGTGGATTCATCTTAAAAGATTTTTTATGCAAAAAAAATCATGCTGTTGTCACGTTGCAGGCCATTTTTATTCTCTGTCATTTCTTCTATTTGGAGAAGATATCTTTATCTTAGGCTGTGTGCCATGCATGCCAACTGTAACCGACAGGGGAGCTATTTATTCTCTGGCTGTCTGAACCTTCTCAACGTGTACTATTGAAATTTAACTCCAGATAATATTAACTTAACTCTTGACTGGGCTACTCAGCTTGCTGACCATTCAGAGCAGTGCTTCCCAAAAGTGGCAGTCACTTATAGTCCCGGAGTCCTAACACGTGTACATCATAGAGCACGTACACACACACCCCATCAAATGCAATTCCAAGTTTTCGTACTGAAAGTGCCTGCACAAATATTAATGCTCCAAAAGCAGTTCTCAGCCAGGAGTTGGCAGCAGTTATTTGCAGTCATGAAACTTCTCCTATTTGCCTGGCTCTAGTCTCTGGGTGGTAGAAGGATTCCCACACCATTGACAGTGTCACCTCTGAAGGACCATCTGCAAGGCATTCAGGGAAACAGTACTAGGACATCAGACATGTAGGTGAAACAGTGGAAGACATACAAAAACCTGTGACTAGAAGAGTAATAGCTGCTTTAATAAAATCAGCTCCATTGTATGAAATATTCCCAAGTAGAAGAAGGATTATTGTGATTGATTTATCTTTTATTGTACCAACTTGGATGTTTCTTGGACCATTACAGCTACAACATCACTCCAACATTATCAAGTAGAGTGGTTATTTGAGCTATCTGTCCTTTTTTCTCTTCAGGCCAACACATATGAAAAGTATTGGGGGTTCTACCAGCAGTTTGGAGGCCAGAGCTTCCCCAAAGATCACTTAAAAAAAGCTGTTGCTGAAATTGAAGAAATGTGCAATATTCTGAAAATGGAAGGAGTCATTGTGAAGAGGCCTGAGCCAATTGACTGGTCAGTCAAATATAAAACACCTGACTTTGAGTCTACAGGTAAATGACATCTTGTAACTGAGGTTCTTACCACTTATTTCCTGGTCATCCTGAGCAGAGAAAGGTATTTAGGCATGTTAGTCTGAAGACGAGCAGGAGGCAGGGTATAGATGCACCTTATAGATGGACTAAATCAGAGATACATAAGCTTTGAATTGAGGTTTTAAACAATGTTCATAATTGCTAAATTCAGTAAAGTGTCTTGCAGATATTCTAGCTGTTAATTATTTCAAGATATGTATTCCTTTCCATATAGCCTGATGGCTATCTTTTTTTTTTCTTTTAGGTATGTATGCTGCCATGCCAAGAGACATCCTGTTGGTAGTTGGAAATGAAATTATTGAGGCTCCGATGGCCTGGCGAGCTCGTTTCTTTGAATATAGAGCATACCGGCCAATCATCAAGGAATACTTCAACCGTGGGGCCAAGTGGACAACTGCACCCAAGCCCACAATGGCAGATGAACTCTATGACCAGGTATTATTCTCTTTCCTTCATTTGTCCCCACCCCAGGTGACACATTTATGGCACTTGCTGTCGGGTGGCTTTGGACTGCGCTTTACATTCCGTGAAGCTTTACAAAATGTATGAAAACATTTTTAGTAATGGTGGTACCAGACCCATTTTTTGTAGAATGCATTGTTAATTATTGAAAACCAGAATATAAAACTGAGTAGAAATTGGTTGTAGCCAAAGGGAGAGAAATGTGCAAAAGAAACCTGTGAAAGATTTAAAATTATTGACGAGTGTTCCTCCAAATATTCTTTGCTGAATAAATTGGCTGGGACTTCTTAAAGGAAATAGTTCTTACGAAGCTTTTGTAGAATGACTTGGTGTTACCTGTCGTAATGCTTTAACATGTAATTAATTAAGCTTTATGCTGGTAAGTTTGTTGTAAAGTTAAGAGCAGATCTGAGTTATCTAATGTGGTAACTCAAAACAATACTGAGGGAGAAAACATTAAAGGGGATGTTGTCAAAGCTATCTTAAATGTGCTTGTACTACTTTGAGAAGGGAACCACTTTCCAAGCCTAACACTGACTCTCTTGCTGTATTCTTCAGAAAATGGAGGCTAATAAATTGTGTTCTCTTCCTTACAGATGAGAAGAGAAAAATTTGTATAATGTTTATCTTGTAGAGATGTTGTGAGGATTAATAACTCAAAAAAAACCTTAGAAGCAGACTTTCCAGGTAGTGTAGGAGCCCCCTATTAATGTTCAAAGTTCTGCAATTACTTTATTTTAGACCTTACCCAAAGCCTATGCCTTGACTTCACTTACTGGCTCCAGATATTGGTAGCTACCTATCAAGTCCTAATTTCTTTGAGGCTTGGAGACTATCAGTCATCGTATACCTCATTGTGATGGTTAGAATTGGTTGTGGGATATATGTTTTTGCTAAGTTTCTTCCAGGACAATGGCAGAACTGTCTCAATACTTGAGGGAAGGCCCCTAGCCTAGGATACGAAATGCATGCATTGGTTTAGCTGCTTTTATTCTTTGCATCATCCTTTCTCACAGCAGAGGCCCTTTCTTACCAATAACGGATTGTTTCACATAATTTGTTTGTGCTAGAATACTTCCAGCTTAAGTATGTTTAAAGATCTAGAAGATCTTACCCAGAGAACTATTTGGGGAGAATGTGACTCTTCCTCATGCTATTCTAAAACATGATTAGAAGCACTAAGTGCAGTCTCATTGGATATGCAAGCTAACATGCTTTTTTCCAAACCACAGGGTGTACAATGTTAGTCTGACAACAGCTTTGTGTTAAAGTTTGATACAGTGAAATATCTTGGTTAGTAATGTTTACTTCCAGTGCAGAAGGTACAATGTTCTAGAGATGACCACTGTCTAGGAAAATTTTCTTATGTAACAGCCGTCTCTTTAAACACACTTGTTTCTGAATTCACTTGGCAAACTGCTAGTTGCTTCAGCTAATTGAGTCCATGCATCGCTGAGCTTCATGTATGCTTTTTTCTCCTTGGTTTTTACACAAATGGAAGTGGAGAAAGAAGAAAAATAACATTGAGGATTATACCAGATGTCAGTATATTTATAATCTTAAAATACTTACTTCAGCAGCAGTTGTAGTAATAGCCTTTTTCCACTGACAATTCAGACCAAGTTTGCCTTTGAATAGTCTTGTCTCTTTCTCACAACTAGGATTATCCCATCCGCTCTGTTGAAGATAGACATAAGCTGGCTGCTCAGGGAAAATTTGTGACCACTGAATATGAACCATGCTTTGATGCTGCTGACTTTATTAGAGCTGGAAGAGATCTTTTTGTACAAAGAAGCCAGGTAGGCAAGGGCTGCTTCCTGCAGTTTTGTAATATCTTTCAAATGCTGACTTTTATTTTATTTTTATTTTTTAAATTTAAAATCTTTTTTTCCTGATTTAACGGTAAAACGAATTGTGGGTTATGAATGGAGTGATGGCAGGGGGTGTTTTTTTCCAGAAGACTCTGTTCCAGATCCAGTACTATTTAATATTTTTATTAATGATGGGGTTGCAGGAATATAGATCTACAGATGCCACAAGTAGGGTGGGGCTGTGAACACCCTGGATTAAAGTGCAAAGGAATCTTGCTGAATGGGAGAACAGGCCTTGGGCAATAAAGGAAGTTCAGCAATGGCAAATCCAAGGTACTACATATAAGGAAACAAAAGCAGATGTACAAATACAGAATGGGGATAACTGGGCTGGCAGTAGCACTGCCAAAAAGGATTACGGTGTTCACAAACTCATTATGGATCTGCAATGTGACACTGTCACAAAAAGGGAAATACAATTTGGGTTGCATTAAAAGGAGCATTATGCAAAGCAGGCAGATGATCTTACTATCCAGTTTGAGTACTGCATTGCCAGGAAGGATGCAGAAAAAAGTGGAGAGGATACAGAGATGGGTGACAAAGATGAAGGGGTTGGAATGAAAGACACGAGGAAAACCTGAAGCAGCTCAGTACACTTCAGTTTGAACAGAAGGAGGTTAAAGGGGTGGGGAGTGTGATACTGGTTGTCCAGTTTTGGAAGGGCTGCCATGAAGAAGACAAAGGAGTGCTGTCCTTCCTTGGCCCAGAAGGCAGAACAAGAGGTAATGGACTTAAACCACAGAAAAGATACTTGTATTAAACCTCAGGAGAGTGTCCTGTCCATGAGAACAGACAGAGTAAAAACAAATGCCCCAGGAAAGGTGTGGGGTCTCAACACAGCTTTCCAAGTTTTTGAGAAGTTTTTAAGAAGAGGAAGGATAGGGGTCTGACTGAGGAACAGCAAAGCCTGTATCTCTGCAGGGCTTTGGCTTGAGATTCTTTCTAACCCTATGGTTCTATATAAGGAAACTAGATTTTCCATAGACATCAGACAGTGGTCAGGCAGACTTTGTAAATGAGAGCACATACTTCTTTTTAAACAAGGAAACCAAGATCAAAGTTCTTAAATAATTTAGCTTATAAAGATAAAACACAAATCCACAGTTTGTCACCATTTTTTCAGGTTACTAACTACATGGGCATTGAGTGGATGCGGAGACATCTGGCACCTGAATATAGAGTACACATCATCTCTTTTAAAGATCCTAATCCTATGCACATTGATGCCACATTTAATATCATTGGACCTGGCCTTGTGCTGTCCAACCCAGATCGTCCATGCCAACAGGTAAGACTGTGATGAGGGAACAGAAGCAAAGCTACATGACAGCAGAATAATTGCTGACTCAGAATTTGGAATTGGTTAGAAAAACAATCGTAAGGCTGTAAGGGACCTCATGAGATCATCTAGTCCAATTGGAGATCAAACTTGCAACCTTGGTAGTGTTAGCACCATGTTGTTACCAGCTGAGCTAAGTACAGTAGTTGGTTCAAAGGGTTATTTTTTCAGTTACGTAAATCCCTGGACTCTAGCTTCTACTGGCCCTTGGCACTGAGTTCAAGGCTTTGTGTAATGGTTATTGAACTGTACATCTGAATTTCAGTAGGCTCTGGCACCAGGACTCCACCTCGGAGCAAGCCACAAAAATGACCAGCTCAGCTCTTTATTCCCATTCACTGCTGCTTGCTTCCTACATAGCAAGGAGATATGGAATGTGGTTACCATGCCACTTCTGTTGTCCATAGCTTGTGTGTTTGTGAAAGTTGCCTATGAATCTCAAAGCAAACAGATAAAATAGATGCTACTTGCAGAGCATTTCACATAATATTGTACTTCCGCTACCTGGGTTCAGATAGAGGCTACAGTATCTCTGTTCTTCAGAGGAGTAGCGTTTCTTTATTTCTAGAAGCCCACCCTGTCTTTCAGCTTCAGTATTAATTATACCAAAGGAAAGAGTCCAGTAGTTGCCAGCTCATTTGGCTGTTAAGTAACTCTGGGAAGGGCACTTCAAAGGAGAGAGGATATTCTGTAATGGGTAAAACCTGCCACATCGGCTACAGGGTGGGGAAAAGCTAATTGTTGTGAATGGTGCAGGAAGAGGACTATGACCCTTCTGTATGCTCTTGTTTATTTGTAAGATGTCTTCCTTACAGACCCTGAAGGTAGTAAGCCATTTGTGTGGGATGGCTCTTAAAATCATCACCCCACAACTTGGTGACCAGGTTTACAGAAGAAGCGCTCCCCCTTGTGGTGGACTTTTAATAAAGCAATGCTATAAGCACTCAAGCGTGCACAGTTCCCTATGAGATTGAAGACCCCGGTACTATTCTGTTTATCCAAATTGTCCCCTTTGCTTTGCAAAGATACTTTTATAGTTATAGTAAATATTTCCTAGTAAAAATAAACTGTTTCCTAGGATGACCATGGGCTTATGCTATTTGTTAAAATAACTACACCAGCAGACAGTTTATTTGCCTTCTAATGTTTCCTGCGGAGCATGATGGAACAGTAGAAGACTATATGGTGATTCTTGGCAAGCACAGTTACAGTTTCATTGGCTTAATAGAAGTCTAAGTGATACGATTGGTGCTCTGTGCATCAATAAAATAATACATTAGAAATAATGATGCAAATATAAAAATACCATTCACTTCTTGTTCATGTATTTGTTCTTAACCAATAGGATCCAAAGTTTTTTTGCATACCTCTTTCTTTCTATGTTATAGATTTGAATACAAAAGCCATGGAACTGAATTCTAATACAAAGTGATGAAACCGTGGATATGTTTTGTAAATGTGCTTACATGAAAAATTGATTTTGCAGGAAGAACTTGAATGAGGTGAAGGTATGCCATGCATAAGAGGCAGCATGGAAAAATGCAAAGGCTGGAGGGGAAAGTGATGGGAAGACATTTTAAATCCCGTTGGAAACCTAATTAGATTAAATCTCTTTCAGATTGAACTCTTCAAAAAGGCAGGCTGGACAGTGGTTCAGCCCCCACTTCCACTCATCCCAGATGGTATGTTGCATTTGCTCTGCATTTGTAAGACCAGCAGCTTGGGGTGCATAGGGCAAGAATGAAACTGAATGCATGACTGCAAGACTAAGCCATTCATTTTAATGTATTTAGGACACCCACTGTGGATGTCTTCTAAATGGCTCTCCATGAATGTCTTAATGCTGGATGAAAAACGTGTGATGGTGGATGCCAATGAGACTTCCATTCAGAAGATGTTTGAAAATCTAGGTGAGTGCTAGTTTGTTGTGTAGGTACAGGCCAAAGTAAAATTCTCTAAGAGGTCACCTGTTCTTATGACTGCACTCTAAATAGGTAGAATGGCTAGTACTGTACAAATGGAAGAACTGTTTTACCCACTGAATTCCTGGGTGAGAATCATATGAATGAGTTCACTGATTCTTCAAGTCAAAGAATCCTTCCTGAACGAATTTGTTTCCTTTTTAAATGTAAAAGATGTAAAAGTTAGTTTCTCCAATTTTGCAATGCAGTTTTTCTTCTTGAAAAAACATGAGCATGCATTGATGGGCAGGACTGCCTGTGCAGAGCCTTGCTTATCCTTCATGGCTGAACTGCACAAAAATTCTTACAGCCCCAGATTTAAACTTTTTCTTTGTGCTATGAATGGTCAAACTTGGGATACCTGATGAAGGGATTTCAGCTGATTCATAGCTCCCCTAGAAGTGGCAGCTTCTGGAAATGGCTCTGTCAGGGCTCGGTTTTCTTTTTTTCCCAAGCAGTTGGGGATGGAGTGGGTTGAGAACGTGAACTAACTGCCCATAAAATGGTAGTATGCAGTAGACTGAACAGAGAGTAGAGAGAATCTGTAATAGTGCTGCCAGAGAAGAGATGGATTCAGTCTATTTAAACTTAAGCCATGCTATGAATAAAGACCGTAGAAACCAAAGTGTTATTTATATATAGCCCTGGAGGTTCATGAGTTATCTAAACTTGTAAGGAGAAATCTTGCCACTAATGAGTAGTATAATCAGTTTCTTCATTGTGGCTTAAGCTGTAATGTCTCAATCTCTCAGTAGGACTTGCTGTTTAAACAGGCTGGGAAATCAAGCTAGGATTTGATCAATCACTTGGATTTTGACCACACTGAAGTTAAAATAATACTAATAATGATCATGTGAATAGCATTTAGTTGGAGGGAGCAGACTGGGGATAGGATCTGGGGTATCTGGCACTGGGCAAATCACTTACTCTCTGTGCTGAAGTTTCTCCTTTTCTGATTTGAGCCATTAGGGCTAAGTATTATCTTAAAAACAGATATTGCCAGCAGGGCTCTGTTTTTGCTATAATTAAGGATAATGGAAAGGATAATAGTTCTTTCAGTCTCTTGTGGTACAACAGCTACTCTGTATCACTGATCACCTTGTTGCCCTTCCCTGTATTTTTTCTAATTCCACTGCATCCTTTTTGGGATGTGGAGACCAGAACTGCACATAGTGCTCAGTGCAGTTCTATAATATTTCCCATTAAAAAGTCTTTATCAATAAAGGTTGCAGGAAGTGTGAACACCATGCTACTTGGTGGTATTAGCAAGACTTCACACATAGCTAGACTGCACGTGTGTGCTTTGACACCGTAAACAGGAACCTATTAGACTGAGCAGGTACAATGGGCTCAGTCCACCCCAAAACTATGTAGGCTGATGTGGAGTATTGCCAGTTCTCATGAGTTTATTACAACTCTCACAATATGAAACCCCAGGCACTGGAATTGTGACTACATTGGCTTCTTCATTGCAAATTGTTTAGCACTCAGTTTCAGGGAAGTCTGACATGAGCCTTAATGGCTCAGAAACCAGAAGGCAAATGAAATGTCCAAAATCCGCGTGTGAGAGGAACGCAGCTAACCCGAACAGCTCTACTGAACAGCTGAGAAACTGGTAGTTCAGAGTGCTGTAAACCCCTAGAAATGAGAAGGACTTGCTTCAGAAGGAGTTCTTGGTGCCGTGACCTCAGTCAGTCCACTGGTGTTGTGTGGGAGCTGAGCCCACACATGTCAGCGGTGAAATGAAGGGAGAAGCAGCTTAGCTTGTTTGCAGGCAATCTGTATAACTCTTGCACTGGAAAGAGGAAATATAAGCCCTGAGCACTCTTAAAAAAATGTCATTTCTAGAAAGTGACTCTATTAAAACAACGTATTTAGTATCTGAGCTCTGGATTCCTAGGTTTCTAACTCAACCCTAAGAGCTAAAACACTTCTCTGATTCTTCATGTATGTACAGCAAAGACAGATTTTGTTTTTGGGTTTGTTTGGTTTTTTTGGTTTTTGACTAGCGTACCCCAACATGTCAGATGTCGGCTCCTCTCCTGGCACCATATATTGCTGCAGGTATGGCTGGAATAGCCGAGTAAGCTGTATTCACATTTCCCTAGAACTTGAGATAGTACGGCACAGAGAGATTATTAACCAATAAATACGAGATGGACACATCATGTCATGAGCACTGAACTTTGTTTAGTGTTCTGCCTAGTGCCTAACCTGTGAATTGGTTTAACAGACTCTGCCTTCTGTGTCTTGCAGGCGTTTCTACAGTTAAAGTGAATATTCGCCATGCCAATTCCTTGGGAGGTGGTTTCCATTGCTGGACATGTGACGTCCGCCGCCGTGGCACCCTGCAATCTTATTTTGATTAGTCATTAGCCAAATAAACAGTTGCAAAATTTGAGAAATGTGCTTAGGAAACAAATAAGTACGTTTTGGCATTCTCCTAAAATAAGTGCATGAGCTGCAGTGCTTGAGCAATGGTGTCCCTATGGCGGTATAGTGACAGTTGATTCTTCCTCCACTCTCTACACTAAATACATGCAGCTGAAACTATATTGATCAGCACAACAGGACTTCTGGCTGACTTTTTTGAAAGAATTCCTCTATTCATTTGAAGCCACCTTCAGGTGGCTTCAAATGTAAAAACTTGACAGTGCATCGAAGGCTCTTGCTAGAATAGCTTGGCCACTAATATTAGCCATCTACCTCTATTTTTTAATATTCTATCAAAAAGGCAGCTTGAAATGTTAGACTCAAGTTTAACATTTACTTTTTTTTTTTTCTAATCTGTTTACTGCTGTAGCATAGCATGTTTTTTTAATGCTGATAAAACAGCCCTAACTTTACAGATCTCGTATGGAACCAAGTACTTGCATCTTTATAACATTTTTACATTAGTTGGACTATGCAGATATTTAGGGGAAATTCTTCTGAATTATTTTAATTCTCGGCTCTAATTTTAATAAATGTCACTTTTCTTTGGTACAAAAGGTTTTACTGTTTTTGCCTATTACAAGCATTTTACCCAAGTGTACCGTGCATTGTCGAACGCCTTTTATATGCAACTGTTAATTGTATGAAAAGTAGTTGGGATGCTAGGTCTGCAAATTTCATGGTGTGAAATTGCTTACATAAAAATGCAAGTTTTTCTTAAACCATAGCAGCTGCTTGAGAGATTTGTAATGACAGCACCTCTGATGCTGTGAAACAGTTTTAATGTTGATTACTGGACCTGTATTTTTTATGCTAATAAACTTTTTGCATTCACAATTTAATCTCCAGTTGCAGTTTTTACCTAGAAATTAATAACATAGCTTTGTCCTCTGAGCAATCAAGTAAAATCAGTTTACAAACTGTGTTGCAACTCTGGCTTTGCACAGTCCATTCATTCTGTGTGTGAGCACTTCACCTCCTGGAGTCATGCATCTTAATCAGGGAGCTTACATGCATTCATCTAACTCTGGCTAAGTGGCAGGAGGAGTATATGCTAAGTTAGGTGACTTTTTTTTTTTCTTGGCAGACCAACACTGATTACAATGTGCACTCTCTCTCATAGCACCTGTATCCTGCTCCTGCAGCCAATAAGAGTTTTGCCAGTGATTTGCATTGAACTGGGATTGGACCTTGGAGCCACTTTCCTGAGTAGAAGAGAATGGGCAGCCACAACTCCTCCTTAAAGTTGCTTCGCAGAGATCAGTGCTGAAATCACAATGTCAGCATTGTACATCAACTCCAGTTATTTTGGAGCAGTAACAGGACCCCAAGATGGGGTGGCAGGCACTTCAAGCTCTGGGTAAATGAGTGGACAAATGTACACATGCATATCTAACACTGTCAACTCTGAGTGGGACTGTGGTATATACTCGTGTTACACGGTACTTCAGGCACAAATGTGGGCCATGTACTTTACCACCATGTACACTCCAACAGCCTACACTGAATGGGAGAAAAATGGCTCCTTATGACTACACCCAATTCATATTCAGCTCCACCCCAGCTCATCTTAACACAGATCTCTCATTAGATGAAAGGATGTTTACAATAATTTTAACACTTTGCTATCCACTGATTGAGCCTCAGTTGGGTAGGACACTTCCAGTCTCTGGAGGAGTATCTTGACTCCTTGCTCCACCCCCCGAAACATGCTCTCTTCTGGCTTGCATTTCTGACATGATCTATTGCCTACTGCTTTTGCCAACACCTGCTGCAAATTAGAAGGGGCATTATAGTGGCAGGGTAGGGAAGGCAAGTGGGATTAGTGCTGCCTGAGTGAAGAGGTTTTGTTGTTCCTTAGGAAACAGGAGCAGGCGGTTGTATTTTAGGCTTCTATAATATTCTTTAATGTGGAAAATCTCTCCTAGCCTCATTGCATTTGACTCAGCTTGACAGGGGAAGACAGGGTGTCTTTAGGAATTGCACAAACCAAAACACTTTTCTTATGTTCCAAGATTATGGTCACAGCAAATTTCCCTCTAACTGAGGTTTTGTCCAAAAAAAAAAAGAAAAAGAAAAAAACAAGACAAAACACCTTTTAGGAGGCATAAAAACACAAACAGCCTAGTTGTTTCCCCTCCCCCCCTAAAATTTGCCTTCTAACATTAAGTGTTCCTGAGCTGTTCACAACCTAAACATTGCAGTGCTCACCAGGTGCATGAGAACCCAGGGAATGAACCCAAAGGGGAAGCTGAGCCAGCTTTCCCTTTGCTGCCAGCTGAGACAATGCAAACAGCTGAGAACAAATCTTAAAAAGCAACCTTTAATCTCGGCTGGTGCTGGTACATGAGGAGAGATTCAAAATATTACCTGGTTCAGTTCAGTTTGCAAATCTGGTCTACTCTAGGAATTTGAGAGGGAGCATCAGAAAGATTTCTACCTTCTCCCTTCTTTCGGGTTTTGGTAACTGCAAACGTTTCTGCTTTTGTGTTGTTTGCAGGCTCTTTCTTTGTCTACATGTGATCAATTTATCTCCAGGGAACCTTGTGCTTTTAGTTGAACTTAATCAGACCGGGACCCTTAACTAAGCTTTTATGGGTTTTAAAGAAAGCGTGGCACTTATTTCTTGGAAGACAAATGCATGAGCTCTAATGTTGGAACAAAGCAGGCCTGTGAAAGCTCCTTACTGACCTATTTCTTTCTTTCCCCATTCAGATTAGGAAGCTGAAACTACTAGGAGTGAAGTACTGGCTGGGATTTGTTGGCTGTCAGTCTTTAGTTGAAAGGGGGATGGGGGGGGAAGATTCAGTGCACTTTCACATTTAGACCTTAGCAAAGATCTGTTTCAAGGTTTCTGATGCAGTGGTCTGGCCTTTGGCAATCTACTTTGAATACCCTATTGGAAGGGCAGCAGTGGGAATTCAGGCCAGCTTTTTTCCCTTCTAATCAGGAATTTGTTGTCCTCATCTGCTTCTTTGCCCTTGTGGAAAGGAGGTAATGCACAGTCTGGCTGCCTAGGAATCTGAAATTTCTGTTTTGTCTGGACACTATATATGGTACTTTGGACACTAGATGTTTAGGGCTCATGATTTGATGCAGTCACATGTTAGGAGCAATTATCTCATTATGACTAATAGGGGTAAATACTATATTGGTATAAATACCCACAAATGGATAGCAAGCAACCTTAGCCACACATCTCGAACACTAAAATTCTGACTTTTCTAGACATGCCAGACTTTACCAGCTATGAACATTCTCCTGTACTCTTACAGTATTTGGAGTGGTGCACACAACAGGAAGCCTCTCCCCACCCGAGTCATGGTTTCTCTTTTCCTGCTGGGGCACTTGTCCTGTTGGCTAACTCCTGATGGTGTTGGGTGGTTTTAGAGCAACCTTCCCTTTTACACTTCCTTCAGCCAGAAATCCTCAAGTTGGGTGGTTGGTGTCTGAGTACAAAAGGTGACCAAACGCTCAGCCCACATGCCAGACCAATGCAGAACACGAGAGCAGGTCATGTTCAGCGTGTGAAGAGCTCATGATCATGAGGCCGACCAGCTCGTGATCAGACAGCCTTAACAAATCAGGAGCTGCGGGAGAAGCGTGCCTGCCTGGCCAGCAGACACACTCTCTTAACTGTAAATCAGCAGCCTCCTCTGATTGGCTGAAGAGTTTATAAAAGGGACAGCGCGCTAAAGCGCAGGGTCCCGGGTTCCACACGAGCCCTCGGATAGGACTGATCACCCTGTCCAGGAATCCGTGTCCCCATGGACGAATAGTCATACGAATAGTCATACGCATACGAATAGTCACACCCTGGCTATTATTTCACCGAATAGTGAGCTCTCCATCCGCATGTACATCGGAAAAAGCAATTGCTATCTCCTACCTGTCATCTTTAACTACTGCTTCACCACTGTCGTTTTGTTGTGTAACCACTGTTGGAATCTTACTGTAAGTAAACGTTAAGTTCAATTTTACTATCTTCCAACTGAGTCAGTGTCCCTTTCATCCCCGGCCTGTCCATAAGGCGGGTTGGTCATCCACCCACCCCCCCGGTTCAACTGGTAAACCGCCTGGTGAGTGCTGCGGTTACTAACAGTTGGAAAGGACCTTGACGAGGTCAGTCATTCAGTCTAGCCCTCTGCAGAAATGCAGGATTCCCTTTTTCACAAACCATCCCTATTAGATGTCTATCGTTTCTGAACAGAGAAGTTAGTGGGCTTTAACCTCCATCTTTCAGTTCCTAGGAACAATGTTAGGGTAAGGAATGGAGATCCAGCCTAGCAGAAATGTTTTGACATGGACATATTTTTGGGGCCAGTGGAAAGAGAAATGTGATTTAGCAATGTAAGCATGACAGCAGGGCCATGGGCACATCTCAGTTCTACACCCAGCTCTGACCATGACTCCAGCAGTGCCCATGGGCTGGGCATTTACCCTGTTTGTTTCCACATGTGCAAAGAGGTGATAACCCTTGGCAGAAGTTGTAGTGATGATGAAATATAAGGTATGTCCAT